CTCTCATTCAAATATGATGTGAAATTAGGTCATTTCCAGAAAAACAGAAATTAAGGGACTATAAAAAAAACAAATCAAACTTACAAGACTTACTAAAGGGAGTCCTTCGATCTGAGAACAAACAACATCAGACCACATGCTGAATGTAGGACACAGGATTGTACTAGCCAGATACCAACCTAGGAAATGAACTCTTAAAGACTATCCAAAACCAAAAGAATTACAACAGGGAACCAGAGAGGTTAATCTGTAAATGACAACATCAGAACAATAAAAGAGGGAATAAACGGTGTAGGTATAGAACCTTCTAATGGAAAGGAAAGCAAGGCAATACCAAGAAATAGTAGACTGGTTCAAATCTAAGAAGATAAGGGTAAATTCCAAGGTAACCACAAAGAAAGTTAACAAACCTACCCATCAAAATAAAGAAGAAAAACATAAAGTCTCAATCAAAACAAAACCTACAAAAACAGAAGAAATGAAAAAAAAATCCACAATCAAAAGGAACTCACCACAGGAGAGTAAGAGGAACAAAGAAAACATCCATACCACAGAAAAAAAGCACTACAGAATGTAATCCCACTCCTAGGGACATATCCTAGAGAAAATAACAGCCTTCACACGAATAGACATATGCACACCCATATTCATTGCAGCACTGTTCACAATACCAAAAAGATGGAAATAACCTAGATGCCCATCAACAGATGAATGGATGAACAAACTATGCTACATACACACAGTGAAGTACTATGCCAAGAAAAAAAGCAATGATGAATCTGTGAAGCATCTCATAACATGCATGAAACTAGAGGACATTATGCTGAGTGAAATAAGTCAATCACAAAAGGACAAATATTGTATGAGACCTCTACTGTAAAAACTTATGTAAAAGTTTACACACAAAAAGAAATAATCTTTGTTGGTAACGAGGGATGAGAGGGGTTGGGGGGAACTAAACAGACAACAGGTAAGTGGTAACTTTGGTGAAGCGTACAACAGTACACAATCCGGGGGAAGCCAGCACAACTTGTACAAAAAAAGGTCCTGGAAGCTCCATGCACACTTCCAAACTCCCTGAGGAACTGAATTGCTGGGCGGAGGGCTGTGGGGACCATGCTCTCAGGGAACATCTACCTCAATTGGCTTAACACAGTTTATAAAGACAATGTTATACATTCTACTTTGGTGAGTACCGTCTGGGGTCTTAGAGGCCTGTGATCGGCCATCTAAGATA